TTACCTTAGGTTATTAAAGGGTGAATGCTATCCTCCATATATCCTTTAAACAGGCTTCACGAGAAGAGGATGGTCCCATTTCTGAACATTGCCTTGTCAATGGATGAAGAGCTTTGCACTCAGTCAACCTGGTTAAGCTGGAATCATATTTCCCTGAATCTCTTATCCTGTTTGTTTCCAGGTGATGACTGGCCAACAAAATAAATTTAGATGTGATTTGGATAGTAAAAATGAAAGCACAGTCACTGATCACTGAAGTTCATTGTGGGTACAGGTGGCAGCTAAGAGCTAGCAAGGTACCAGTGGGTTTCACAAGTCTTTTCTTTAATCTTTATCCTGCTCTTCTTGTCCATTGCCAGATTTCCTGGCCAACAAAGGGCCAATCCGACTGCCACAAGTCTGACTGCAGACCTGCAGAAGCAGCAGCAACTCGAAAGGACAGCGTTCTACAGGCTTTCCCTGCACTGCCCTTCACAGCCCACTCTGAAGCTAGACCTGCCTACTCCCCATACACCCTGAAAGCTGCTACTCATCCACTCAACCTCAGCTTGCTCCAGTGTTCCAGGAGGACTGAGTTGGTTTTCTTCGGGCCTTCCAACACTTGCCCTTCTCCCCCAAATATTACAAGCACTCATTCTAAATATATCCCTGATTTCATAATGTGACTAGAAGTGCTGCTTCTCTGATTAAACCCTGACTGACACATGGGGTGTTTTATTACCATTTAATAAACATCATGTCAAACCTAATGATTTATGGTCAACATGGATTACAGAGGGAAGGTGAGCAAAAGAATCTCTTTGCTTTTTCCCTCTATGCTGTTCTAGTTTCAGCTGGCCTGAGCTTGCCTCTCTTGGACTCTTCAGTCTAACAGCTAACCCATTTGTGCCATAAAGATCAAAGATCAGATTCTTGAGCTACATTAAGGCTGCTACTTTAAATGACAGCACTATTTATGGACTGTTTATTGAAGACAGATCACCCTTGGAGGCCACCACAACCTTTACTCATAAATCAGACATCCAGTGCTTCTTGGAGGCTAAATACTGCCTCTCCTGTTGAAGACATGAAGGGGTGTAACATATACTTAATTTGCTGCCACTCTAGGAGTTAGAATTTGCTTACTCCCTTAATGCAGAATTCAAGGTCCAGACAAGGAAATTTGATATTTTTTTCTTCCTCTGCCAGCCACACACACCAGCTGGTGTTCCCAGGGGACACTGGTAACTGTATGTAGGCTGAGCTTTAGCTTAGAAGAAACAAATAATCTATAGAAGAAAAGACTCCAGAATATTTTCTCATAAAAATCAAGGAATGACTGTTGCATCATTCCAAGTACCAAAAGAATACACTAATTGAAAATTTTCCTCTGAATCTGAATGTTTTCTAACAGATAATTCGTAGAATGCAGAACTTAGTGGTTTTCAACAGGGGCAATTTTGGCAACGTCTTGGGACTTATTTGTAGGTAATTTGTTTAAATCCTCTATGTCTCAATTTCCTTACCTTTAAAGAAAATAGAAAACACCAAATAGTAACGCCATAAAGTTGTTGCAAATAATAAATGAGTCGGACAGGAACAGTGGCTCACGCCTGTAATCCCAGCACTTTGGGAGGCCGAGGCAGGTGGATCACTTGAGGTCAGGAGTTTGAGACCAGCCTGGCCAACATGGTGAAACCCCGTCTCTATTAAAAAAACAAAAATTAGTTGGACATGGTGGTGCATGCCTGTAATCCCAGCTACCCGGGATGCTGAGGCTGGAAAATTGCTTGAACCCAGGAGACAGACATTGTAGTAGGCCAAGATTGCACCACTGCACTCCAGCCTGGGCGACAGAGTGAGACTCTGTCTCAAAAATAGACAAATGAAAATGATAACAATAATAAATGAGTTAATACTTGTAAAAAACCACTTGAAACAGTGTCCATTGTTTATAAGCTATATGTGCTAGCTATTACGGTAGGCATAAAAATTGAATAAAGGGACTCTCAGGGTGGTGAATGAATTCCCTTTGTAACATAATTTGAGTTCATTCTACTTGTAATCTAATACAAATCTTATTAAGCCATATTAAGCCACAATGCATCTAAATGGACAATTTGCTGATGTTGAAACTGAGAGAATGGGCTAAGAAATTATATTGATGATGATTGCATGATGGTTCATGAAGAGACCAGGATGGAGCCAGGATAAGTGATGAGAATGGGCATTTGGGCATCAATCTTCAAGCTGATCTCACAAGGTAAGAGGCATCTGCATCTTACCTGGGGAGGCTGGGCTCCTGCTACCCTTCGTGGAAGATCGATTTCCACAGAGGCTGGTTTCCTGGAAAGCACTGACTCCAGAACAGCACAGGGGTCTGGGGGCTTTTCTGTCTTGTGAAGTAAAAGTTACAAAACGTAATTTATCTTTGTTTAAGTAGAAAATTGAAGCGAGTGAAACTTGACTCAAATGTACTAACAAGTGGGAGTCAACAGAGACCAGTGATGTGTCCTGCAGTCCAGGTAGGAGCCAACTTCCAGAAATAACTGAGCGCCAAGCTGCCTATTGGGGCAGAGGTCACAGGGGATGTGGGTTGAAGGGTAAAAGTCTCCATTAGGATGAATAGACTCTGGAGCTCTGTTAGACATCATGGTGACTATAGTTAACCAACGTGAACTGTGTGGGTAAAATTTGCTAAGACAGTAGATCTTAAATGCTACCAAAGGCCTCCCCAATGGTAACTAGGCTAGGAGATGGACATGTTAATTGGCTTGTGTTAATCATTTCACAATGTATACCTCTAGCAAAACATCCTGCTGTATACCATAAATATATACAGTTTTTATTTTTCAACTTTACCTCAATAAAGCTGAGGGGGAAAAAATTGTCCAGCCTGGACAACATAGTGAGACCTCATCTCTGCTAAAAATAAAAAAAAAACCAGCAGCTAGGCAAGGTGGTGCCCACCTGTAGTTTCAGCTACTTAGAGGGTGGGGTGGGAGGATCGCTTGAGCCCAGGAGATCAGGGCTTCAGTGAGCTGTGACTGTGCCACTGCACTCCAGTCTGGGCAATGGAGTGAGGCCTCATCTCAAATAAGTAAGTAAATTAAATAAATAAATGAATCATCTAGTAAATGAGTTCTGAAGCTAGACCATCTGAGTTGGAGTCTCGGCTCCATCACCTACCAGCCGTGTGACCTTGAGCAAGTAAGTAACTGGACTTCTTTCAGCATTTGCTTTAAGCATTTGTTTTCTTGTGTGTAAAATTGGTATTATGAGAGTACATAGTTTTAGGGTTTCCATAAAGATTGAATAAGTTACTTCAAGTATTATGCCTAGAAGAGCATCTGCAGGTCTAAAGATACTACTAATATTGCAAGGTAGATGACTTTAATTTGACATGTCTGCCTCTCGGTGTCTCCATCGTTAAAATGAGGCTAACACTGTATGGCTTCACAGGAGTCATTCAGGCAACAAACGGTCCTGTGATGCACACTGTGCCCGGCCCCGCTGGAGAGACTGTGAAAGCGCTGCTCCCTCTAGTCACACTCCAGGGAACTCACACGGGGGCCGGGCAGGGGGACCTGAGAGATAGAGAATCGGCAAATATCGCTTCTCGGCCTTTCGACTAAGATCAAGTGATAATCAGCAAGTAAACGCAGACGAGAGAGAGCTGGGGAACTCTGGGCACAACTTTACAGCTTCCTGGTTCATATTCTCTTCTAAAAGGAAGGAAGGCTGGATGAGGCCCCAGTCCATCGGTTGGAAATAATGGGCTATGTTTTATTTCTCAGTGGACTGAGGAGGAGAGCAACATTTAAGTGTGCAAGTGTGTGTGTGTTTGTGTGTGTGTGTCAGAGAAAGGGAGGGAAGGAGAGAGAGAGAATAACATATTTCTGCTGCTTTAGGAAGATCAGACAGTCTCCATCTGCTTTATAACCACAACTGCTTCCCAAGGTCATGTGTAGGCTACGCAAATCAAAGGAGTCTTGGGAAATTCTCAGCAGAGTGTGTGTGTGTGTGTGTGTGTGTGTGTGTGTGTGTGTGTGTTTTCTATGCAGACCTATTGAAAGCCACATTTTGCAATTACCCTTTTGTTGCCAAAGGGCTCAGGAGGGTATCTGGATGCCAGTGGGACCCTAGCCCCAGCAGTGTCCAGGTTCTTGACACCATGGAGAGAAGAATTCGATGACAAATCAGAATAAAGCAAAAGGCAAGAAGCTTTTACTGTAAAGCAAAAGTACACACGTAAGAGAGAAGTGCAGGCGTGCTCGGGAGAGTGAGAAGCGCACAGCAGAATTTGTATGTCTAATTTTATAGGCTCTTCTAATTAGGCAGTGGAATAATCATGATATTTTCTAGGAAAAAAAAAAGTAGGGATTTCTTAGAATTGGAGTGCCACCCATTTTTATACTAAATATATCATGGTGCTCGTGGGTCTGTGATTTTGGATGGTAACGAGTGTACAATTAGGTCTGGGGTAGGGCATAAGTCAAGTCCATCCATCACCATGTCAGATCCAGCTGGTCTCAACCAGCTTTGCCCCCCACCTTGTTTGTTGGGGTCTTATCAGCCCAGGCTTGTCTTTGTCCTTGTCACTAATTCTAACAGCTCCTTTCCGGCAGTTATGTGAAATTGCTGCTTCATATTTTCCCGGTTCTCCTGTGACTGCCCAGCATTCCGATTTAATTGGTGTTTCTTTAATTAGGGGGTGGAACAATCATTAGGTGTTCCAGTAAAAGAGAATGATATGGTTTGGCTGTGTCCCCACCCAAATTGCACCTTGAATGGTAATAATCCCCACATGTCAAGGGTGGGGTCAGGTGGACATAATTGAATCATGGAGGTGGTTTAAATGGTAGTGAATAAGTCTCATGAGATCTGATGGTTTTATAAAGGGGAGTCCCCTGTACACGCTCTCTTGCCTGCCACCATGTAAGACATGGCTTTGCTCCTCCTTGCCTTCCGCCATGATTGTGAGGCCTCCCCAGCCATGGGGAACTGTGAGTCCGTTAAACATCTTTCCTTTATAAATTTCCCAGCTTCAGGAATGTCTTTATTAGCAGTATGAGATCAGACTAATACAGAGGAGATTTCAGGGACTCCCCAAGAATGCCCCCTTTCTCCCTTAATTGGGTTCGCCCGGAAGAGTCGTAGGCCTGTCACCCTGACTGGGTTTTGGCTGGTTTTGTTCCATATTTTGGGTTTTCAGTCATCCTGTGTTTCTTTGTGCAGTTCTTGTTTCAGGTGTTGTTTAGGGTTTTCCACCCTGTGACTCCCCAGTGTTATTCCTATCCCACCCTGGCCTGGCTGAGATGTTACCACAGCTGCCTTCTCCCCACTGCAGGCAAATGGAACTAACTTAGAAAACCAGTGAGCTGGCTTCAAGCTCATCCTGGGAGGAGAACTCTCCAATATGCTGTATCAGGGACATACTCCCAGGATGAGTGGGTTGTCCGAGCCCACCCCTCCTCTCTCAGCCCTGTTGAGCCCAATTTTGGAGACAAAAATGGATTCTTCATTGCTAGCATCTATCTCTTTCTTTGTCATTTAATCACAGGAGTTTTTCTTTATTCTATTTTCTTTTGAAATGCCTTCCTGGCTCAGGACACCCTGCGATGCTCCACTGAAGGAGACTGCTGTGACACTGTGGGCAAGCAGGCTTCCTTTCTGAGGTTGCACGGAGCCAGCCCTAGGTGTGTGTGGGGGACTGGGCCTTGCCTCCAGGGTCTGCAGACACAGAGGGTGCTGCCCTGGGGACTGGGGAGGGGACGAGGCTGGTGTCTGAATGCTGTTCATTCACTGGAAGCAGGGTTGGGAGAGGGATCAGACTCCGACTCACACCCCCTGCAGATCAAGCCAGAACAGGAATCTTCTGGTTGGGCCGTGACAGTGGCAACTTCCATGAAAGTAGAGCGCACAGGGTGCAAATCAGCGGGAAAGGCTAGGGGCAGACCGAAAGTTTGGATTTCTCCTGCCCCATGGTGCAAAGCCCAAACCAAACCAACTAAAAACCTGCTGTTGCAGGGACAATTCTGTGGGGAAAAGGAGGAATTTTCACCTTAATAGTTAGCACAGGCTTACGGTGTTAAAAACTCAATGAGTCAATAAGGGTGAATAGTGAGCGATTACCCTTTCTCTGGTGTGTTTCCGCATGTTTGAGTGTTTTCCCCTACACATTTATACATGCAGGTACACGTCCATGTATACAAACACGTGTACATCCCTTGTTCACACGGTCGTGCACGCTGCTCTTTTTCCTCTCAGTGTATCTGGAAGGTGGTTCCGAATCAACTGGATGGGATTTTTAATTTCCCAAGGCATGAGCTCTCCTGGCATCCGCAAATGTGACCCGCAATTGTGAGAGGAAGAGGAGCGCAGACCTCCTGCCCGGAGAGACGGTCAGGAGGGAGGTGGGGGAGGGCTGGGCCCCTCTTGGTGTCCCGGGTTCCCGGCAGAAGTCTCCAGGACTGCGGGAGTCTGCAGACTCGGAGTTTCCGCGCCAGAGGAGCGGGTCCACGCGGACAGGCAGTTCCAGCCCCGGGTGAGAGCGGCCCCATCTCCTCCCCGTCCCCGGCGCCGCCAGCAGCAGCCCTGGAGCGATTTCCCCTCCCCGCCACCCGCGCTCTCTCTCCTCCTGCGCCCAGGCCGTCTCCGGCTCCGGATCCGGGCGGCGACGGTGTAGATGGGGGCGCACAGGGGAGGGTCCTGGAGCCCAGGAAGGGTGCGAGCTGGAGGCGGCGGTTCAGAAAAGTTGTCAGGTCTCCAGCGCGGGCAGCGGCGGGAGCTGGAGCCGCGGTCAAGAGGACCCCAGGGGACGCGGCCCGCCTGGCACAAACGGCCACGGGTGCGAGGGACTCAATGAGCTGGGAGGACGCGGTCACCGCTGGTGCGGCGCTCTGGGCCCGGTGATTGGCGCCTTCCCCGGCACAGGTGAGGCTGGGCAGAGAGGGCATCCGTGGCGTGGCCTCTCTGGGTGCGGGATGAGGGGACGCACTGAACGCGGAGTTAATCTTGGGGATCGGGCGGGGGCGCTGGATAGGTAGATACTGTGGGGCTCCGCGGACCCTATCGCCTACCTGGACCTCCCGAGGAACACTTGCAGGTCCGGTGCCAGGGGGGATGTGGCGGACGGGTCTTGTCCCTTGCTTTCCCCCTCCCCAGGACTTGGCGGGACTATGAGGATGGAGAGCCCGGGTCTTTGCACTCCTTTTTCTCCAACCATGGAGCTCCATGCCTCCCTCACTCCAGTTCAGTTAAACTCAGACGGGGAGGGTCCCAGGGACGAGCCAGTCTCCCTCCACCTGTTTCCCTTCCATCCTGTGGTCCTGAGAGCCAGGCTGTGCCCACCGGGGAGCAGGAGTTCACAGCGAAGCTCTCAGGGGGTCCCAGGTTGGCAGAAATGAGGGATCATCTCGACAGACACCCGAGATCCGGTCCGATGTGGTTTGAGGATTGCTAGGAGGGACTGGGGGTCTCTGGTGAATGGGTACAGGAATGTAGAACAGAACTGGGCTTTCCAGAAGGCCTTTCACCCCACTCCTCCATCTCTGCAGCACGAATTACTTCATCTCAGAGGGAATTTAGTGGGTACGTTAGGCACATAGCACAGCGCCTGAAGCGCACGAAAAGCTTAGCAGCTGCTAACCACTGCCATGATTATCACGCACACGTTGGGCCCAGGTAGAATCAAGCCGACCCACATGAGCAGCGGAGGGAGAGGCTTCCAGGTCCGGGAGAGCCACCTACGGGCCTTTCTGCGCAGGTTGCTGGCATGCGTGGTTGCGTGGATGGCGAGCAAAGTCTCACCTCAGGCTGGGAAGGTGGCTGCGCCTCTGTCCAGGGTTCCCGGGCTCCTGAGAGCAGGAGCGCTAGGAGAATGTCGTTCGCCTGCTTCCCGCGCGCCCGAGCTGTGTCCACAGGGCTGGGCTCTGAGCGCAGCAGCGAGACCACCTGTTGGTGAAACTTTCCTTGCGGTGTGGGGTCGTCTTAGGTCTCTGCTCTCAATGCGGAGAGCTCTACCTTAGCCCGCTTACAGACAGATCTTCTAAGCACTTTTTCTCCAGCTGCCTCCTGCCTAAAGCCCTTTCAGCTCAGCTGGAAAATCAATAGGAAGAATATACTGCCAATTTCAGTGAGAAGAAAAATGTTTTTGCTTTTCAAAAGTCATGTGCAGCCTGAAATTCTGGGATAGCCACTCTCCTTGAGCCTGCAGGTTTCCTCAGGAGCCAGACTGAACTTTTAAAATATGTTTTTTAAATACTGCCATTTTCTTTCAAGGCTTCCAGTTAGGCAGAGATGAGGGTGGGGTAGCAGATATCTTCCCTTTTTTCCTTTTATTTAAATTGCAAAACAGATCTCCAGTATCAGGGTGCAGAATAAAACCAGGTGAGGAGACAGAGTGAGAGGGTGCAGAATAAAACCAGGTGAGGAGACAGACCACTATTGGCGGTGGAGTGGGCAGAGAAATTTCCCCAAGGAGGTTTACTTGGGAGCAAATATTTGAGTGAAGTGAGGGAAGAGGCCAGAGAATATCTGGGGAGGAGCTGTCCAGGCAAGGGAACAGCTAGTGCAAAAGCCCAGAGGCTGGAATTAGCTGGGAGCGTGGAAGGAAGAACAAGGGCGAGACGGCCATGTGGCTGGGGCAGAGTGAGGGTGGGAAAGGGGTCCTGAAGGGAGGTGGGCAGAGTCCTGAAGCTCATCATGTGGTCCAGGCAAGCTACGTGTGTCTCAGATTAGAGCTGGGTCTGGTATCCACTCTCCTTTCTCTTTCTCAGGAGCAAACTCCTGATGTTTTCCTGGGCACTTGATTACCCAGAATAAGGACTGCCTTTGCCGGCCTCTTCTGCAGCAGGGTGTGGCTCTGTGACTGGGTCCTAAGATTTTTTTTTTTTTGGGGGGGGTGGATGGAGTCTCGCTCTGTCACCCAGGCTGGAGTGCAGTGGTGCCATCTTGCTTCACTGCAAGCTCCGCCTTCCGGGTTCCCGCCATTCTCCCGCCTCAGCCTCCAGGGTTAGCTGGGACTACAGGCGCCGCCACCGCACCCGGCTAATTTTTTTTTTTTTGTATTTTTAGTAGAGACGGTATTTCTCCGTGTTAGCTAGGATGGTCTCGATCTCCTGACCTCGTGATCCATCCACCTCGGCCTCCTAAAGTGCTGGGATTACAGGTGCGCACCACCATGCCCAGCTAGGTTCTAAGATTTAGTATATAAAAGGGGGTGGCACCTGTAAACTCCAGGAAGTGAACTTCAGTGGAGGAAGTCGCCTTTCTTTGTCCCTATGTCGTGGCTGGAAAATGAACCATTAGTAACGACAGGAGCTCTAGCAGCCGTTTTAGACCATGAGGTGTTCCTTGGAAATGGAAACTGCACAGTGGAAAAGTAAGAGAAGTGAAGCCTGGATCTCCACCGCAGCTACACTACCCCTCAGCCTTGGCTGATGGCTTCTGGACTTTATGAACACAAGAGAAAAATTAATTTGTATTTTGTTTAACGTTTAAACCTAAACTTACATGGAACCCCATGGTAAGAACCTACATTTTATTCTAACCCATCAGGAAACTATTGGAGACTTTTGGGCCAGGAAGTGACAGAAATTGTTTCACTTTTTAGTAGACTCATTCTGCTGCTGTGAGGGAGGAGACTGGGCCCAAAGGAACAAGAATGGACACAGGAAAGGTCAGCTGAGGTTACGGCAGTTATCCAGGTGCATGAAAATGGCAGCTTGGGCCAGGTGGTCATGGTGGAGGGAACAGGAAATGATCATCTTTAATATGAACTAGGATGAGTGTGAATAATACAGGTGATGAGAAAAGCCACAAACACATATATTATACATTTGACTTAGAGACATAGATCTGATTTTCCCATATAATATTTTCTTAAAATAGGTCATTTCATAGTTCCCATCTCCTTAGTTCACCTCCCCATGTTTCTAGTAGTTTACTGAACAGCACCACAACTGTTTGTATAGAATCCGTCAGAAAGCAAGAATTAGGAAGACTTTTTAAAATTCTCATATTTACAACGAGAATAAATGAGGCAGAAGAAAGTGGTGCAACTTTCTATAATTCATCCCAGCGAATAAGTTTGACACCTGGTATTAAAAGATCTGAAAATATTGAAGCTTCAGTGAAAAGCAGATTCCTCCCAAGCAATTGTTAAAGACTTCTTAAGGAAAGAAAAAGTCAGCATTGCATTTATATGCGTTATTTTATATAAGTATTTATATACTTATATACTCTGTTTCTCTAATTCCAACATATGCTTTAGCTCATGGTTGGCATCTGAAATAGCATTTGATAATACACATGGAAACATAGAGAAATAGATGTAAGAAATGTAAAATAAGGCTAAAACAATTGAAAGGAGATCAAATCCCGGGGAAATGTTGGACCGGGGTATACAGATTGTGACTCTTTGATGGTTCCTGAGAGGGAAGTAAAGCTTTAACTCAGGATTTCCTAGCAAAAGGAAACACAATTTATTACATGTTTCTCACTGTCCATGAGAAGAAAACATACCAGCCATAAAGAGGCCATGAAGGTGTTCCTGCCATTGAGATCTGAAAGAAAACTATCATGAACAGTTTTAGAGCAGAAATAATTACCCTGTAGGGCTGAGACTCCTGCAGTTCACTGATAAGCATTATGGAGTCAATTTTCTCTTATTTTTTTTCTGAAATGTTGTGGTTGTTTGCATTTTTTCCTCTGAATGGGCTCCATAGTTTTAATTATATTTCCAAAAGGGTGAAAAGGTCTGAAACTGTTAAGCATCATTTATATAGAAAATAATGCAGTAGGCAGCATTCTCCAGGCCATAAAAGTTGCAATAAATGTGGCAGCAGCCTTCCTAAAGCTTTCCATTTATACAGGTTTCTTAGCAAAGTTGAGGGTCTGACAATTTTATTTTTATTCCTTACTCTATTTACTTTCCTCCTTTGTTGTCTTTATTATCAGCATGTGCTTCCTTCAAACGATGTCATTATCACGATGTTTGTTTTAGTGTAGTTATTAAAAGCATGGGCCCTAGGGCCAGAAAGCCCACCTGTAAATTCTGCCTTCACCACTCCCTCACTGTGTGCTGTGGGATGGGTGGCTTCAGGCTTCTGTGTCTCATTTTTCTCGCCTGTAAAATGGGGCTAGTAATAGATAACGCGACAGCATTGTGGTGAGATTCACATGAAGTAAGAAATGGAAAGCACATGTGTCCACGTCGAGCACATCGCACATGCTCAGGAAGTTGAGTCCTTTATCATTCTTGATGTTGCCTTCACAATCGTTGTTATCATGGACTTTCCTTTTGACATGCCAGAAGGCATCTCCCACATCAGCTTACTTAAAATGTCGGGCATTCTAATATTTTTGTTCAAATATTTATAGCAACAAATAGAGAAATTTACAATTATCCTCACCTCCACATAACTGATCTTGATTTAGGACTGTGCACATTTAGCGTTCACAGTCAGTGTGTATGTGTCCATCCCAGAATAGGAGACGCGATAGTGTACAAAGGCGAAAACACAGACGCCTCAACCCATCTGTCCACTCAATGTGTCCCTGCCCAGCAAGAGGCCATGTGAGTCTCAGAGCCCCTCTGTTGATTCCTTTCTTTGAGACTCTTGTCATTCTTGTCTTTAGAGACAGGATTCTGTATGTGTGTGTGGGGTGTGTGTGTGTGTGTGTGTGTGTGTGTGTGTAGTTGCTTCACTGTTTTACAACTTGGTGCTTTAAACTCTAGATCTTCAACTAGGGCTCAGCAGAAACAGCAGCACTCTGTCGTAATGCTGAACAAAAAGCCATCTGTGCTAAATATATTGCAATACAGAACTTTACCATCTTTATGGCAGATTTTGGTTTAAAGAGACTTTTTAGGAATAATCTGATGCTAGGTGCATTCTGCTTCCATGTAGACTTTAGAGATTGAGCCCTTTTTATATGCCGCTTCACTGAACACTCAAACTGAAGTCAGAGATTCCCTGACGGGAATGGCAATAGCTGAGTTTTAAGTAAGACGCAACTCTGTGTGACTGGGTAGTTTAGCCAGTTCTACCTCTGCCCATCCTCACCCCAGACATACCTTTTTCCCAGAGAGATTAGAACCATAATCACCAAAGTCAGATGAAAATACACCTTCAATCTGCAGCTCCGGCGAGTCATTCCGTTCCACAATCGCTCTGTGAAAAAAAATGTCAGAGTAAAAAGTATTCTGAATTGTGTTAATTTCTTTCTCTCAAAATTATAGTTCTAATTCTCCTTGTCAATCTATCTGCACACACACACATACACACACGTGTGTGTGTATGTGTGTATATATCATACATACAATTTCTATTATTCATAGCAGTTATATTCCAATGAATTAACACATACTGAACCATTGCTCCTAGGGAAACTGCAGAGATAGGTTTCTCTTAGTCTTTGTTTACACAACTGATCAATATATAATTTTATGTGTACTTCTGTATAAAGACACCTTATTTAATATAGATTATTGGTTCATTTTCATTGAATTTACAGCTGACAGCACTACATAGCTCATGCCTGAGCAAAGTTTATCTAACACACATATTTTCTCCACAAGGCACACGACAACTTCCTTGTGCTTAGGAACTAACTACATGGCACTTCAACCCTACAGTTGGGGACTGTTTTAAACAGCAAAGTTCCTCTCAAAATAAACCAAAATAGGAAGAGCATGGAACTGACTAGACCACAGAAGGACCGTTGCTCACAGAGCTGGGCAGGAAGGGAGGGCACTGCCTGTTTGACCTCAGGTTGGATGATTCACATTTTTTGCTGCTCCGCCCATGTACAAAAATGACTTCAGATGTTCCACAAGTATTGATATGGGGGTTAAAAATGAGGGCTAGTGAGGAGGCAAATTTGCAAATACAGAATGTCAATAATGAAAATTGACTTTGTGTGTGTGTGTGTGTGTGTGGATGCGTGTGTGTGTGTGCGGGTGCGCATGTGTGTGTGCGTGTGTGTGTGTGTGCAGGTGCATGTGTGTGTGTGTGCGCGTGTGTGTATGTGTGCGTGTGTGTGTGTGTGTACATGCATATACAGGAGTGACAAGTGGCTGGCCCAATTCAAATTTATATTGATTAGATTGGAGCTACTTGTAGCCTTTACATGGTCCCGTAAGATGCATTCTTATTATAGCTGAGGAAATGTAACTATTTTCTGCCATAAAGCTTGTTGTAGTCATCTGCAATAAGGAAGTGGAATAATGTAATAAGGATTGTCCCTGTCCTTGAAAGAGACAGCTCTTATTAGTTTTTTCTTAGCTTTTGGGGTAGGAGAGCGTGTAGGACAGATTCTGTTGAGGGTTTTCATGGAAAACTCAGCTAAGAAAAGGAACAGGTTTGGTTACTGTTTCAAATTAATGAGCCAGGTTCTTTCATTTCTGTCTTTGAGGTACAGGAAGGGATTCAGATTGGTGTTACTGAGTGGACTCAGGATCTCTGACAAAATTGGAGAAGTTATCATTTATGTTTCAAAATATTTATCCATATTAAAAGTATGAACTGAATGGAAGGACTACTGGTGTAACCCCTTTTGTCACTGGAAAGTTATTGATTAGATATTTCAGTCTTTACAGAAGAATTCCAGAAAGATAGATGCCTTCATTATCTTGTCTGTAGTTGGTCAATTTTTATAAAATGAGAATGTGTTCATCACTTTTCTTCTTCCCTTTTTCTCGTTTATAAGGATTTGATATTCTATGGTTTATCCTTCCTTCTCTTAAGGTAGAAGCTTCTTTTTTAAAAACCTAAGACATGAGACTTCATGGGCCTCCATGGATTCTTTTTCCACATGCCCCATGTAATGGGAGCTGTGTAGGTACAGGAATGTCCTTTCACAGTGGTTCCCAGGGTGCTGCTTTCCTCTCCCAGCTTCAGAAAAAGACACCTGGGACCTCTGAGTTCCTCACTGGTGGTGGCGGCAGGGCTTCAACATCCCCAGTTCTTATATCCTCACATAATCCTTTGAGTGTAAGAAATAATCTTCTGGTAGCTCCTGCACACGTTCTGAAGGCCACGCTTTCTTGCATCATCCTGTAATACTCGGCGATAAACTGTGTGGCAGAGTCCCCAAAACTACCCCCAGATTCACTTATTCTCTGTAAGAACTCAAGGGATTCAGCACACAGGCTTACCTGCCGCTGTGAATTATCACAACAAAAGATGTAAAGCAAAATCAGCAAAGAGAAAAGGCTCACAGAGCAAAGTCTATAGGTCGCCGGCACAAGCTTCCAGGAATCCCCTCCCACTGCAGTCGTCCAGGGGGTGCCAGCTTTTGCATCCTATGGTAACAGCATTGTGAAATGTGGATCAGGGAAGCTCATTAGAAACGCAGCACCCAAGGTCTTTGCTGAATCCTGGTTGCCTGGGTACTTTCTGCCTATCATGTACCTGAATCCAAAACTCTAAGGAAGAAAGCAGGTGTTCAGTATAGACTGTCCTTTGTGTGAAGAGTTTTATCACAATGCACCACTCTTCTTAGTTAGTGAAAGCTGGAAACTCTCACAAAATCCAAGTTTCCAGAGAGCAGTCAAAGGACAACCTTATAAGCAGATCTTTCTAAGGACAGCAGTCTCAGGCCTCCTACATCCTTTTCTGCACACGTAACCACCCTTGGCCTAGTCAAAGATTAAGTCCAAAGGGCGATACAGAGAACGTTAATTTCCTTAAGCAAATCAGGATTCACTAAGATGTTTCCTGGTGTTTTGGACTTTGGTTCGGCAAATCCCATTGAAGATTCTGCAGAAGAGACCCCCTGCCCTCCTTATTGACCTGTTAACAACAAAAGGCTGAAAACAGAGCACAGGCTGACACACCGTTGCCATGACTACCTGTGCGGCAAACATCTTAATGGCATTTCACTGAGATGCTTCAGGTATTGGGCTTTGGAAAGGGATGGCTGAATAGAACTAAAGACCTCGTGGCACTCAGCTCCCAGTGGTGCAGGAAATATCCAGTTAATGCCCTCAGTGGTAGCCATTCCCTTTTTACCAAGGGTAGTAGAAGATGAAATGGGTTCATGCTACCATGAGTTGGTTTGGATACTCATGGAAAGAATGGTCTCTTCAGGCATTATTCAACTTCCACAGCTCCTGCTCACTCTCAGTCATGGTGCTGTGTCTCTTGGCTTGTGGTATAACAAATCTTCTATTTTTTTGTTGTTGTTGTTGTTGAGTTCTTTTTTTTCTTGAGTTCTTCTTTATAGGTTTTATTCCACAGACATTTCCTTAAACATTCTTAATTAAGACAATGATGAGGCCTGCTTTGGGTACTTAACAAGACTGCCTACTGGGGGACACAAGCACCATGACACGGAACGGCTCTCACTAAGTAAGTCAAGTCCATTCGATGGTTGCTTCTGACTGGTTAGTTCCCTTGAGGCCTCAGTAACGTTTGACATTAATACTGATGTCCTTTATTAAGCTCTCTATGGCTGTGCTTCTCACACTTTGATCACAGGATCTGTTTATCCTTACATTGTTGAGAACCACCCCACCAAAAAAGCCATTTTGCTTATAAACATTGATATTTATTAGAAATTAAAATGGAGAAAGTTCATGATGTTGTTTCTCCAGTTGGTTGCAATATCACCTTTCCAGTAGCCTCTGGAAACCTCCATTCTGCATTCATGTGCTCATGAGAATGAAACCAACAAATAACACCTTAGTATCCATGTAGAGATATTTTGGCTTGTGTGGACCTCCTACAAGGGTCATGGGAGCCCCGAGAGTTCCTGGACCTCACTTTGAGAATCACTGTTCTACACAATTCCTTTGACTGTTTTTAATACCATGGGCTTCTGTCTTCCTCCTACCTTCCTGGCTCCTCCTTCTTGTTAGGTTTCCAAGGCAAAGTGAGGGTTAAAGACACACATAGAACAAGAGAGTGGCTCAACAGCAAATGCAGGCATTTAGGTCCAGTGTAAACCGGCTGAGGTGGAGCACCAGTTTAATGCCAGTGCCCACCACTGCTTACAGGCTGGGATACTTACAGGTATGGGTGGGAGGGGTCTGGGCAGTATGGCTTGCTGCTGGGGAAGATGTTAATAAGATGTACCCATGATGAAGCAATTGGGGCCTTGTTCTCGCAGAATGTGATAGTGATGTGCCTTGGACTTTTTCTCAGCAGAATGTGATAAAGTCAGGCGGTTGGACAGGCAGGCTCTCATGGCCCGAACCCTCGTGGAATGTTTCACTTTGACCAAGGTCTGCATAATGGCAGGGACTTTACAAAATAGTGTATTTCGGATTAACAGGTCTCAGTCTTGGGCTTCTTGTTGTCTGACAGGTCCTAAATGTTGGCCCCTGCTGTTCCAGGTTCTCTGCTCATTACGCATGTTCTCTGGGTAATTTCATCCACTCCTAAGGCTTAAATCATCATCCCTCTGCTGAAGGCTTCTAAATCTCTTTCCCTAGCTCAGAGCCCTTTTCTGAGATGCAGATTCTTGTGTAGTTTGATCTAGTGGGCACTGGTACTTTTGTATTCCACAGGTATTTTTGGCAACTATCTACTTCTTTCTATCTTCAGGGCTATTCTTGCAGGGTCACTCTAGCAGTCCCTAGCAGGGTTTACTGTGCTTGTCCCGCCTGCTTTTGGTCCATTCTCCATCACTGTAGAGAGATATATTTAATCAAATCTTCTCATTTGTGCTTAGGTCATGTCAGTGCCTTTCCATTACTCTTTGGATAAAGGCTAAGCATTTTAAAATGCTTAATGGCTTTTTGTGATATGACTCTTACCTAAACCTCTCCAGCTTGTGCTTTGCAGTTTGTCCCTTCTATTGAACTTCATCTTTCAGTGACACCGAACTTTCAGGTTCTTCTAATGGCTATATGTTCTCATCCTCTGGGCATTTACCTCTGTTGTTCCAGGAAATGGTCTTCAACATCTTCAGATACCTAGAAGCTTTGCCCCTCAGTGGGAAGAAAGCTTTCAACTCACAGCAGTTCCAGCAGAAGTTCTGGGGCTGGAGAGCTGATCCTGAGTTGCCTGTGATCACATGCCACACCTGAAGGCATCACTCTATCCAGGCTCCAGGTGTATAGAACGTTGTGAGGTCATGACTGAGGCATTATGACCAGTCTTGGAACTAGGGTTGGGGTGGGGTTCATCCCACCCAGACCACAGGGACCAAAAATGAGAAAGGATGTTTTTCAGAGAGAAGTGTTGGTGCTGGACAGGAAGAACCACAGATGCCTGATACGGGTACTGTTGTCACTCTGTTCTCCATAAAACGTAATTTGCTTTTGTTTGATACTAATCTTTTTGTCCTCATAGTCTTGCACATGGAGTTTATCTATCCACCTCCAACAGACACTCATGTGCCTCCCAGTCACTTCTTCTTGTCCCTCAAAACCAGCTCCAGAGAAAGGATCGATGTTCTTCTCTCCTAGGCTGACTTTCCATATGCAAAGTTCACATGTGTACACTGCAATGCATTACACACAGCATTTGATTTGTGGGTTTGTCTTCTCCACCACATGAGCTGAACAGAAATCATGCCTTGGACGTTTCCACATCCTCAACAAGTAGTTAAGACATGTCACAGAGTAAGTAGTGCTTAATTAGGTTTGAGGAATAAGGGATACAGTTTTTTTGTTTGTTTGTTTGTTTGTTTGTTTTTTGAGATGGTGTTTTGCTCTTGTTTCCCAGGCTGGAGTGCAATGGAGCGATCTCGGTTCACCGAAACCTCTGCCTCCTGGGTTCAAGCAATTCTCCTGTTTTTGTCTCCCAGTTTCCTCCAAGGCTCTTGTTCAAACTGTTCTTATTGTGACTTTGGGTTGGAGATTTCTAAGGCTTGTGGTATAACAAATCTTCTATTTTTTTTTCTTGAGTTCCTCTTTATAGGTTTTATTCCACAGATGTTTCCTGAAACAGTGCTAATTAAAACAATGATGAGGCCTGCTTTGGGTACTTAACAGGACTGCCTACTGGGGGACACAAGAGAAGGACATGACAGAGCCTGTGACTTTTACCAGCCATCAGTTCAAAGGGAAACTGGCACACAACCTGCAGCTGGTTAAAGGATCAGGAAGGAAATAGTTCATCTAAGCACAGTCTCTGGAGCCTGAGTTCAAACCCTAACTCACCCCTTGCTAGTTTTGTGCCAGCGGGCAAACTTCTTAACCTAATATGACTTAGTAGATGCAAAGTACTTAACTCATGCTCGATGTATAGTTAACAATTAATAGTTAAGATTAATTTCATTACCTCTTTGTGATTATTTCAAACTCATTGATTTCTTCTTTTTCTAAACTCTGACAACAGTTGAAACTGTATTGAGCACTTCTAGTGTTGCATTATGTATTTTCATTTATGCATCAGTATTTATTGTGAGCATACATCTTCTCTTCCCAACTAAATTATTTGTTCCCAGGGATAAAACTGTGTTTTCTGCTTTGGATATGTATTGGCTATGTCATATGTGTAATAGGAGCCTTTACATAATTAGTTCTGATAGAAATGATACGATCATTTTTTGTATCATAAGTTAAACATAATATAATGGTAATATAATACCATGAAAAAGATGGCAGGAGTGACAGTTAAGCTCCTGAGCCAACATTGTTTCAACTCTTGAGAAGCACCCATTAATACATCAAGTGTTATGGCCATTTTGAAGCAGTCTTAATTTCCTTAAGGTAGTTGCATTAGTCTTCTGGCACTGCCATAAAATACCATAGGCTGGGTGGCTTAAATTTTATTTTCTCACAGTTCTGGAGACTGGAAGCCCAAGAGCAAAGTGCCTGCTGATTAGTTCCAGGGCTTTCTTCCCAGCTTGCAGACAACCACCTTCTCACAGTGTCTTCACGTGGCAGAGAGAAACAGCGAGCATTCAGCTCTCTCTCCTTAGAAGGGTCCTTTCAGACCAGGGCTCCATCATTACCACCTACTTTAACCTTAATTAATTCCTTATTCCAAATTCAGCCAGATTGGATGCTAGGGCTTCAACATATGAATTTTGGGGGACACAGTTCAGTCCATCACAGAGGTCTTTCCACAAGAAAAAACCAATATGATTGTTCTGTCCCTCTAGTTTTTGTGAGCCAGTCCATACAAGAAACTGGCTTCCCCAAGTTATCCTGGATGACTTGTATTTTACCTTTTTTATAAAAAAATTAAATTACTATATTGATGAGGAGTCAATGCCTAGGTCAGGGTTGTAAACTCACCCTGGGTCCTGGTATTCAAATGTGTCATAGGGATTCTGTCTCCATCTCCAGTGCTGCTTTCCCCAATGTTGGCCTTGTTCTCACACAGTTCCCTGAAGGGGTGACAGGAAGGCCAGGCAGGGGACACAAATGAGACAAGTCTGGGCATGGGGCAGGAGGGAATGGTGGGGACTGAGGCGAACCTTAGGACAGAGGCCCCATGTAAAGTGCTCAGAGGCCACTGAGGGCCATCTGACTAGTGCCAGGAGAAATGTATGTCCCACTTTCCAGATCTTTTTATATTTTCAAAGAAAAGCTAGAGATCTGGATTTTTTATGTTGATTTTCTATGTTGATTTTCTATGTTAATTTCATTTTTTAAAGATTGACAACTAATTCGATGTTAAAAATTGTGTTAAATTAGAAGAAAAATGTCATCAAGCAGGCAATCCATTTTGGATCTCTAACCTAAGCTTTTGGAGGAACTTAATAAAAGTGGCAAGATCACATTGGTGGGGGATTAACTTGCATATACATCCAATTTTGTCATTGCCTATTGAGCTTATTACTGAAGACTCAGTGTCATAAAGTATATCTGTTAGTTCATTTGTGGCACTGGGTTCAGACGGTCTGTTAAAAAAAAAAAAAGAGTCAATTCCAACAGTAACTTTTTTCTCCAGAATAATTGCTTAAATATCTGGTACACTCTGAGGGCACTCTTGGTTTCTCTTTTATTTCCTTTTTTTTTTAAACAAGATTACTGAGTTGAATAAGTCAGATTATATTATTATTTGACTATTTTGTTTGGGTTTGGGAATGAATAATTGTTGCTGTTTTTCTTCTTAGCATTCCTTTGCCCTTCCTGTCCTAACAGTATCTAAGAATGCTACGGAAAAGCACCACCGGTCCCCTACCTTCCAGCTTTGTACTTCAGGAAAAACTGACTTTTTTTTTTTTAGGGCTGGGGAGGGGGCCTGCTGGCATAGGCTGGGCTACTCAATACATTCTCCCCGCAGGCCACAGTGATAGGGTTAAGGATGACACATGACCCACTAGAGACGATGACATGCAGAATGGCTTCTTCCTTCTTCTACTGTGACTTGTGGAAAAGGAACCCTAACCAGTTCTTGATGGATTGAACAATGTTTGGGAGATGGTGTTCTTGTCACCATGTGGAGCTTAAGCAAAAAGCCACACCATGGAAAGCAAGACTGAGAGATGAATGAAAAAGCATGTTGGTGACACTGTTGGCACCTGAATCCATCTGAGTCCGAAGCCAGTCTGCTCCTCGTGACTGTGTGTTTTATAGATTTCTTTAAAAAGAATCCTTACTGATATACATAATGGCCAAAGGAGAGGAAGATCAGTCTCAATTAGTGAGAAGTCCAAAGCAAATGGATGTAGAGGACTACGTGCTCACAAACAGGGTGTTCCCGATAAGTCCTGCTCTTGCAAACGAAGCAGGGCATTCCCAATAAGTCCTGCTCTTGCAAAGGAAGCAGGGCATTCCCAATAAGTCCTGCTCTTGCAAACGAAGCAGGGCGTTGGGGGCTTGTTTATGTGTAAACATCTTGAAAATCCAGAAAGTCAGGGAAAGGTCAGAAAAACAACAATGTGTCTTGTGACTTGGCAACATTCCACAAACGACTGTATAAAATAAAGCAGAGCGCACCATTAGAGGCGGCCGCCATGTTTGTCTTGTCTTGTGTTGTCTTGTGTGTTCATTCCTTTGTTTAGGAAACACGCGGACCCCAACAAATGGACTCGTGCATGGTCTCATCAAAATGAAGTCAAAGGTTAAGGGCACATTTAAATTGTCTCATGGTGTGTTTTTGGTGGGTGGAGAGACTACAAAATCCCATTTAATACAGAGAAAACAAAACGAACCTCAGAGGACTTATGTGGTTTCTCTCAGTACCTACAGTGGGCTCATGCAGTCCTGGGACTCCAGCTTAGGTGTCTCAGCTTCTCAGGACATCAGCTGCCCCCTATTCAGGTAGTGACAGAGCTACTAGGATTGCTCAGTGAACATCCGTATACCAGCTCCTAGATTCAAGTTAATATTTTACAGTGTTTGCTCATCACATATCTATCCATGTGGTCCACTGTCCACTCTTTAATACATCTTATTTCACGTTTTAATTGGAGGCCATCTTTCTTGATGCACTAATTTTTATTCATTTGGCAAAGATGTAATACCTCCCACTAGGCACTTGGGATGCAACAGTGAGCTAAATACCAAAATGTTTCCTCCCAGGAAGCTGGACATTTTTGGGGGGTTGATGGTTGATGGAAGAGTAAAAAAAACATACACACAGGACACTTTTAGGTAGCAATAAATGCTTTTGAGGAAACAAAATAGGATGAAATGACTGAATCTCTAAGACATATTCCAGCTAGGAAAATAAAAACTCTTCTAGGTATTTTAACAGAGGGATTTAGTATAGGGATTATTTACCTAGGTGTAGAAAAGCTTTAAAAAGGCTTAATATTTCTTGAGAAAATAAAGCAGAGGTTAAGAGTTGCAAGAAACTGTTACCACTCCTATGGTTGGAGGAACAGAGGGAAGGGATGATACTGCTAGTGCCCAAGTACGGGGACTGTTTGGTGGAAGTTAGAACCACAGCCGTAGTTGTCCTGGATGATGTTGCTGGGGGATCTGAGAAGATGGTAAGGGGAGCTCTCAAGGAGCTGGAACCGCAGAGGAGACAAAGTCAGGAGCAGAAAATGCTGCAAGAAGCAGGAAGAAAAACACATACTCAAGTTCTTCCTTCTTCTTCTCCTCCAGCCTTGCACCAGTGCCTCCAAATTGGCTGAACCTGCTGAGAGTCGGCGGGAGAGAGCCTGGGGAATGCATTTCTGAGGCATACACAACAGAAGAAGGTGTTTGGGGGCCCAGGACAAACCGGCAGTTGACAGGCACATAGAGGCTTTTCAGAAACAAGTCTTGTCGGAAATGTGACTTTTTCTGGGGAAAATTTGACTAGAAGCGAGAACAAGAAGAACTGTTTACTGGGAATTCTCTCTATGGGAAAGTCATGGGGGTATCGACTGTAGATTGGCAGACGACAGAGGGCCTCTTTGAGGGGGTGACAGATAGCTGAGGATGCCTGACCAGGGGCTGACATCTCTGCACACATCCTGGTAGAAAGGTTTCCAGGCTGAGCAAGGAGCCAGTGAGAGCCATGAAGACAGCACGGAGGAAGATGTGTCAATAAATCAGAAACTGATATTTCAGACAAGGCTGGTTAGAAGAGTATGAGGAACCTTTGGCCCTTTCCTTCACCGTAAGCAGTGACATGAACACCACCACCCCAGATGAGTATCAGTTTACTTACCAAGGCTCCTTCAAGCTCTTGGCAGGCAAGACCATGGACCCAGGAGGGTATGTAACTGTGTATTGTCAGCGACGCTGCATGGCTACATTTCGGTATTTAATGAGGCATTGATCTTGCTGGAGATTTTTGAAAGTCTGGTCAGGTGGCCCATTGGAAGGAGACCTGAGCTTGGTTCTCTGTGCCTGAGTCGTCAGCTGTCTATGCTACAGGAACAGCCTCAGCTGTGGAAATGCCACGACTTCTTTCCCCGTTGGCCATGCAGCAGGTAATTAGCTCTATAGAGATGTGGGGAGGATATGGCAGGCTTTCAAGTCTGCAGGTTGTATCAGGGGCCTTGTCACACTGCCGGAGTGTTTGCATTCAGGGCTTCCTCAATCCTGACAGAGGCACCTTTCCAGAGATGATGTATGTGTTCCAAGCACAGCTACAAATGAGGCAGTTAAGTCCGTGGAAGCGCTGTGGGCCACAGTCTCCTGCCAGGGTTCCCAAGACCCTGGGAGTGGCTTCCTTCCAATGGGCCATTAGCTTTCCCCCGAAGCTCTTTGAGGCTTCTCTGGAGCCAGCTTCTCTTGGCACTGCTGGGCTGGAGGAAGCTTCTCCCATGGCGCTTGTCTGGCAAGCCTCACAAATTCACTCTGTCTTTCTCTGAACCTCTATGCTTGATTATTTCTGTAGCTCATAACCAGGCCAGTAATGAGAGGCCCTGTAGAGCTGGGCCTCATTAAGACTTTCTTCTTCTCTCTTCCCAGGATATACTTTATTCAGCTGGGTGCTGAAAAACAATCTTGGAAATTAGGAAACTGAATGAGGCCTCATTTCACACTCAGAATGTGGGTTGCAATAGTCACTTCCTCTGCTGCTGGGAAAGAAAGAATTATACTACCTTTTGAATTTTGGATTAAAAAGAGAGGTGTTGGCTTGTCAAACTACCGTGTATTCCTCAAGACATATTTTTGTAGCTTTATAAAAATTCAATATATATTTCTAAATTTAAATGTATTTTGTTGCAACCTGGCCCTTGGACAAAATGAGGCATTGGCAGCTGATGTTTATGGCTTTCCACAGAACCTTCCAGATAAAATTTACACAGCATTTTACTGCAGCTATTTCACATAAAGCAGAGGATTTTGCCACAAAACTGAAAGAAAAAAGAAACTGCATTCTTAAATTTTTTATAAATCAAAAGGTATCAAAATATCCACCTAAAAGATAAAGGAGATGAGAAACCCATCTGTGATGGAAAGAAAGCCTATTTCAGCTTTGCCTTTTCTTTAAGTTCTTTGTTCCATATCTGGAATGCAATCGGAATTTAATCTTTCCTGGGATTCCTCCTGGATGTGGGGAGAAGAGAAAAGCTGAAAATCTGAAATCTGCCTGTGTTGGGCTGCATGTCTTCGGACGCCAGCGGAAGGATCACACTGCACAGAGTGCTGTGCTTGCAGAAGCCCAGCTTCTCAACCTCCATCGCTTTATGAATTGATTCACCGGAAAGGTAACTGGCCATTTCTACAAGGGGAAATTAACCAACTAAACGTGACATTGGATTGTTCCCAGATTCTTTATTAATGATGCTTCTGCATCGCTTTACCTTGTCAAATACAAGTTATGGCAGATATTCTTCTGAGAATGATCTCCTAAGGCATGGCTTCCTCTTTTCATCTCTATCTGGACGCTGTCCCATCTATAGGGTCGCATTTCCGATTAGAAATGTTGCTGAAGATCCCCTTAAAATAACAAATATGTGTGACATAATTATATATGCTTTATATATTTTACATATACACATGTACACTTGTGTAAGAAACTTATTAGTTTTGGTTAAATAGCATTTTATAAATGCTGTTTCATATGACACATTGCAAATGCTTCCCGTGATACTGTATTATCTTCAAGTCACGGTTCTGATGGTGATTTGATACCCTATTTATAGTATGTCTGAACCATATTTATTTAATCCCTTTAATGATGGAGATGCAGGTTGCTTTCAAAGTTTTCTTGCTGTCATAAATAATGGTTACCACGAACATCTTGGCACATATATCTCTTTCCAAAATGATTATTTCCATAGAAGTTCTTAGATGATGAATTATAAATACACACTTTTTCTTTTCTTTTCTTTTTTTTTTTTTTTGAGACAGAGTCTCGCTCTGTTGCCCAGGCTGGGGTGCAGTGGCGTGATCTCCACTCACTGCAAAGCTCCGCCTCCCGGGTTCACGCCATTCTCCTGCCTCAGCCTCCCGAGTAGCTGGGACTACAGGCGCCCGCCACCGCGCCAGGCTAGTTTTTTGTATTTTTCTTAGTAGAGACGGGGTTTCACCGTGTTAGTCAGGATGGTCTCGATCTCCTGACCTCGTGATCTGCCCGTCTCGGCCTCCCAAAGTGCTGGGATTACAGGCTTGAGCCACCGCGCCCGGCGAAATACACACTTTAAAAAGCGTATCCTGATTTATTTATGCAGTCCCTTATTAATTAGCATTTAATGCTGGTTATTAATAAAGACAATCGCAAGGGGATATTTATTATTTAAACATGCCAGTAACTCTTCTAAGTGCTTTAGCCTAGGAACTTGTATGATGCTCACAATCACCCAGTGAAGTCGAATCTATTATCATCCCATGTCCTACCTAAGGAACTGTGAATTGTAGGAAGACAGAGCAGCTTGCCCAGGATTGTTCCGCTTGTAAATATCAGATTCCAATTCAAGGACATGGCTGCAGCATATTTGCTGTTTATTTGGTTTGATGTTATAAGTGATACTGTAGTTAATATGCTTGAGTTTCAATCTTTAGTCCCCCTCAATAGCATCTATGAGGCATAACTTTTAATTTTTATAGAAAGGAAGATTATAGAAGTGTAAATGTTCTCCCACAGCATTATTCTCATTTTAATGAAAATGATGGAGATATCTGAATGTTTCCTTAACAGGCTTCCCAAGTAGATGCAACATAAAGGGACGATGGAAATAAGCAAAAGGTTCTGAAGTATCAGCGTGCCACCTTCCACAGGCGGGATGTCAAAAATAGTTCTGGCTGATGGGCAGCTTACTGTGCATAAGGTTTGCAACCAATTGATATTGATTCCTGTTTTTCTTTCCTTTAAGAAAAGAAGGAATCAACACTTTCAGAGATGGAGACTGTTGAGTCACAGTATCAACTAGTCAGTGCTGAATCCGACTTCTCCCTTTCTACATTGCCTGATAGAAGTCATTGGGGAATACTCTGTATGTGAATTTTCACTGTTGGGGAAAGCAATTTTTGGAAGTGGTGGGTAGACCTCAGTTTGTAAGCATTGCGTTAATTACTATTTCTTTGCTTTTCCTTTTTTGTGAAGTTTCAGGGAGTCAAGGGATTGGATTGTGGATTGCATTAGTGGCGTTCCTCAGTTTCCTCATCTTCTCCACAAGTTTCTACATATCGAATGCAGAGCAGCCCTTCTTCAAAGGACCTCCTACGGAACCTGCTAAGGAACTCAGTCTGTAGCTCTGTGTGGAGCCATGTGTAAACACTGAAACGAGACCTGCCACCTCCTACTACCTAATGGCCCCTTCTCATCTGAGAAGATCATTCCCTAGAAACAAGCTCATGCTGATGTCCATGTTTTTTTGTTGTTGTTGTTGTTTTGTTTTTGGATTGGATATATGGAGAATTTTCCTTTCCCTTAGAATTAAAATCCTGCTTTCTAGTTTTCAGCAAGCTTTTTAATTTTGGAATAATTTTAAATTTAAAGAGAAGTTGCAAAGATAGTACAGAATGTTTTCTTATACCTCTCATCTATTTCCCCCTTTTATTACCATTTTACATGACCATGGTATACTTTTTAAAACTAATATACCAACACCGAGGCTTTATTATCAACTACACTCCAGATTGTACTTGGATGTTGCCAGTTTTTCTATGAATGTTTTCTTTCTGTTCCTTGATTCCCCTTTTTTGTTCTATTAGTTAAATAGTTAATAGAATACACAGTTAGCTATTAAATTAATAGAAACCATAAGTAGTTGACTAATTAATAGAAACCAGGACACCCAATTGCTTAAGTATCATATTTGCTTAGTCTCCTCTGGACTATTGCAATTTCTCAGTCTCTCCTTGTTTCAAATGATCTTGATGGTTTTGAGAAACAGTGGTCAGATTTTGCAGAATGTTTCTTCTTTGGTGTTTGTCTAATGTTTTCCTCATCATTAGACTAGTCTTAGGGTTATTTTTGTAAGAAAGCTACAGACAATATGCAGGAAAATGATTATGGACATTTTACTATAAAACTCTACTTATAGGCACTGAGATGTAAACTTCATGTACTTGTCACACCACACAATATTCTGTTCATTTTTATTATCATTAAAATATGTAAAAAACAAAAATAAACTCTCTTAATTCACTAAACAAAATTAAGAGGTTCTGATTTGGCCCATGCAGCATTTCGTTGACCATTGGTATAGAGTAATACCATCTTACTTTTTACCGTAAAAATAATTGAATAGACATGAAGAAATTAATAAGACTCAGGTATGCAGATGCTATTTATGGGGGTGAGGAAGCAGCTTGTTGTATACTAAGTGGCTAAACCATTATTGTGTTATTGTCTTGCCTATTAATTTTAAGGAGTATATATCACAGTCTATAATGGGCTTTGAGGGTTCTAATGCATGCATGTGCGTGTCTGTATGTGCATGTGTGTTTGTGTGTGTGCCTGTGTGTGTGCGTATTTTCACAGGAAACTGAGTGGAAACTCCATGGCAGGCATGGTCCCTACTGGCTGGTCCACAGGGAATGTGCAGCCACTGTTGATAGAAATACCCGCCAGGTACAGCCGTTCGTATGGCCTCTGGGTACAGGTGATGACTGATGAATGCCATCTGGTGTCAATGCCGGGTCTGCTGAATCTGACCAGCTCTTCTTGGTGTGACCCTGATGCCTATGTGATGTGTCCTGGGGCTGCCCGTGTGTATCTAAGGCTTTCCAACCTTTCCTGTCCTTCTCAAACCCAGTCAATTTCCTTCCTATACTTTTTTTTATTTCTCATAGGGCAGCCAGAATGGCTTTCTGTTGCTTGAGAGAATCAATGAAAAGTAACAGTGTTCTCCCTTGAATGTTGGACTTACATGCATATAATTGTGTAATTCTGTTTATTTTCATTGTATTGTTTTATCAATAGCTTCATTCTCCTAAAATACTGAAGAAAAATGTGATGTAATTCATGTTTGCTTCTAAGGCAAATGTTCATTTTCAGTAACCTAAGTTTAACTTCTCTCTAACTTGTGGTTGAGATCACCTGTTTGTATCTGTTTTTATTTAGAGCGATGTTCCCAGGAGGCGTGATAATGCAGCAATGGACAAGGACAGGAACAAGAGACAGTTTTACCATCTTCCTACAATTTGTAGATGGGACAGTGGAAACAGAAGCCACATTGGGGTTGGGCATGCAGAGATCTGGCCCTAAATCGATGTGAATTTTGCCAATTGCTTTTGCCTCACAGAGCTCTAGGTTCTTACCTGACAAACAGGAACCAGACCATCAGATCCATAGAGATTTAATCAATGGAGCCTTTGAAAACTTCACACGGCCTGTGTCAATGCGAGGTTGCTGGATGATTATGACAAGAAATCACATTGAATTCACTGTGGTAACATTGTGGTAACATTGTTCATGAAACGGGATAATGTGTTTCAGCGATGAACCACCACGGTCTTACGACAGACATATTTCCACTTTGAAAAGGTGTGTGCGTGTATGTGTCTGTGTGTGATACAGTGATTGGAAAGTATAAATGTGTGCGTTTTCATTTTACACATCTTACATTTTCCTTTAAATTGTGTGAAAGCCTGTTTTGTTTGTGACTTCCATTCTTGGAGGTCCCATGAGTTGTTAGTGGTGAAGATGGAACAGATGGAGACTCCTGCCCTCAGGGACTGACCACTGCAAACATCCCTCTCTCATCTGATTCCACTGTTTCTTCCACATGTACACATCATGAGAAATAATGTTCAATCAATATATTTCTTTAAATCAACTCATATGCTTATTTACATGAATTTACCTAAAACAGAAACTTGATATCACTTCTGTAAATGAAAAAATTAAACTTTCTGGCTATAAATAAAGTGTAACAATAATAATCATGCCAAAAAATACCCCTCCAGTGTTATGAATTGAGGGTGTGGTGTGGGGGTGAAGACACTGCCTAACTCCTCCCCACTGTTGGGGAATGATATCCAGCCTGTCACCCGCTGATGGCAGGTTATGTAGGAGAAGCAAATCCATTAAAATAGAAGCACAGCTGCATGCCCGTGATTACTTCTCTAATGTTATTGTCTAGCTCTGCGCTTGATCCTCCTCTGATAATACTCAAGAAATAGAACAGCAAAGTTTGCTTGTTTTAAATCTGGTAATTAATGTCTGTTTTGCTTACATTAATGGTTTCTCGTGGGAAGGATGCATGCATTATTAAATGTTGCTTAAGGAAAAAAAGTCTTGTGTTGGTTAACAATTTTTGACTACAAATAATAGAAAACGATACGAAGGCTGGCTTCAGTAGAAAAGTAATTTATACTTCCCATAAATAATAAGCCGGGGGTAGCATGGCCAATTTATCCAGTAGTCTCAACAGCCACCATGCCTGAGGCCCGTTGTACTATTAAAAGGTTCATGAAAATATTTTTATTTTAATTTATTTTAAAATTAGAAGAAAAATCACTATAATAATCTTTTAATAGGGTGGGAATCCACAGAGCAAAAGCTTCTGAGGCACCCAAAGTCATAACATAGCCCTGAGGGGTAGGCCTGCCTTCAGCCTTCATTTGCTATCAAGAACACACCAAACTCCTTTGACTTCCCCCTGCTCTCCCTTCTTTTTTATATCATGCTGTTGACACTTAAAAATAGGCTTTTCCTTCGCCTCCTACCATCATGTACTCTGTTCACCCCATCTAGCTCCCTGCTCTCTTATTTCCCCGTGCTCCAAGGCTGTGTGTGCAGCAGGATCTCTGCCCTGGGTCTTCTCTGTCTGAAGTACATTTCTTTCAGGAAACTTTCTAATTTCTCTTGCTCCAGGGGTTTTCTCGGCTTCTCAGAGAAACTTTCTTTTATATGTAAAAAGGATAATGAGGCCAGGCGCGGTGCCTCACACCTGTAATCCCAGCACTTTGAGAGGCCGAGATGGGTAGGTCACTTGAGGTCAGGAGGTCAGGAGTTCAAGACCAGCCTGACCAACACAGTGAAACCCTGTCTCTACCAAAAATATATGTATATAAAACTAGCCAGGCGTGGTGGTGGGCACCTGTAGTCCCAGCTACTCAGGAGGCTGAGGCAGGAGAATTGCTTAAACCCAGGAAGCGGAGGTTGCAGTGAGCCGAGATCATACCACTGTACTCCAGCCTGGCGACAGAACGAGACTCGGTCTAAAAAAAAAAAAAAAAAGAGAGAGAGAGAAAGAAAGAAAAGATAATGAATAAATGAGTGAAAGATAGATGCACCAGCCCAGACTTCAAAACACAAGGTCAGGAAATCAAGACCATCCTGGCTAATACAGTGAAATTCCGTCTCTACCAAAAAATACAAAAAAAATTAGCCAGGTGTAGTGGCGGGCGCCTGTAGTCCCAGCTACTTGGGAGGCTGAGACAGGAGAATGGCATGAACCTGGGAGGCAGAGGTTGCAGTGAGCCGAGATCATGCCATTGCACTCCAGCCTGCCTGGGCAACAAAGCAAGACTCTTTCTCAAAAAAAAAAAAAAAAAAAAAAGTGCTATTGGCAAACTGTCCAGCATTGTGCCATAGGAACAAAAGAGTGGATTTAAAAATAGAAACAGAGGTAGGTGTTTTTAAAAAGGTATGTACTGAATTAAGAAAGAAGCAGAATGAGTATATTATTTACCCCAAATAGCAATATATATTGTGACAGAACACGTAGATATCTCCATGACCATAACAAAATACATGTTAATTTTACGTAAGTGGCTGGTGATAAAGAAATGAAAATGGTAGTAAAATGTGGGGTTTATTGTTTGTTTGTTTAGACAGAGTTTCATTCTTGTCGCCCAGGCTGAAGTGCAGTGGCAAGATCTCGGCTCACTGCAACCTCCGCCTCCCAGGTTCAAGTGATTCTCATCCCTTAGCCTCCAGGGTAGCTGGGATTACAGGCGCCTACCACCACGCTCGGTTCATTTTTGTATTTTTAGTAGAGATGGGGTTTCACCATGTTGGTCAGGCTGATCTTGAACTCCTGACCTCAGGTGATCCACCTGCCTTGGCCTCCCAAAGTGCTGGGATTACCACACTGTGCAGGAGTGAGCCACTGTACCCAGCCTGGATGTGGGTTTAATAAGGAATAACTGCTAGGTGAGCCAGTTGAAATCATTAATATTTGATTACTTTTTTATCTTACAAAAGTGGTAATTGTACATAGTTCAACATAATGAGTGAACAAAAAAGGATTCTTTCACAGATCAATAATAATAACAACATGCCCTGAAAGACAAATGAGGTGAGGTTGACCCTTCGCATCTGTGTTGAATAAAACAAAACTAAACTCTAGATTCTTCTGTAAAAAATATATTTCCCAGACTTGGTTTCATCTTGCAATTCTATCCCACTGAATACATGGACTTGGTTTCATTTTGCAATTTTCCTCCACCGCTTCTAAATGTTGTTGTAGAATGATCCACGTAACAGAAGGTCCTGCCTGCTATCAGAGAGAAAGCCACTCCTGTCTGGAAAATGCCATCTGAAAAAAAATGACTAAGTGATTTTCTCTTGGTGACTTCAAACCCACCAAGTTAAATACAGAAAGGTAGAGACGGTTATAAGAGTAATGCTCTCTTCCGGCAATGGATGGATTGCAGCGGCATTTATTCATTTTGCATTTTGAAAGAAAGGCAGTTTTCTTCTGCTTTTATTAGTGTGCTTACAGATGTGGAAGGGAACCAGAGGATGACAAATGAAGCACGAAGCTTTCTGTTGCTCCATGGGTCTGCCTCTCCTCAGTGTCTCCTCACCACCCTCCGAGCAGTCACCGGGACTTCTCATTTCACAGAGATCTTGAAACAGGGGAAAAGTGCCTAGATAGGTCACGTGGGGTCTGTGTCCTGTCTGTTAAGGAACAGTGATTAGGAAGCAGGAAGACATAGAGGAAACGATGCAGGGACAGAGTAGGAGCCCTTGGTCTGAATCCTTATATGTAAGTAGCTTCATGCATGTGATTTTGGCAACTTTCTTCCCGATTAGACCTTAGTTTTATTGTTTAAAAATTAGTAGGTTGGAGTGAATGAAACCCCAAATCTATACTATGCTAAAGCTTTATGTGTTTATTTGACGAGTTAAGGAGGGTTTTCTTTGTTTTGTTTTGTTTTAGTTTTAGTTTTAGTTTTTGAAGAGCCTGGGTCTCGCTCTATCTCCCAGGCAGGAGTGCAGTGGTGTGATCATAGCTCACTGAAGCCTCAAACTCCTGGATTCAAGCGATCCTCACATCTCAGCCTCCCAAGAAAATGGGATTACAGGTGCATACCACCATACCCAGTCAATATTTTTTTTTCCTGTGGAGATGGGGTCACATTATGTTGCCCAGGATGATCTTGAACTCCTGGCCTCAAGTGATTCTTCCCGCCTCAGCCTCCCAAAATGATGCTTGTATTACAGGCATGAGCCACGCATCCAGATCTTTTCTATGTCTGTAAGTATAATGAATGCAAAGAAGATCATTGAAGAGAAGCGACTGATGGATCATAGCTTGACAAGCTTCTAACCACTCCCTAGATCCAATTGCCTTTACGTGGGCCCAAGGTCCCGTCTCTCAATTGCTGGAACCAGTGGCAGCTTCCCAGATTCTGTTTCTTCATCTGTGAAATGGGATTTTCAACCATATTTATCTCACGTGTTTTCACATGGTACAGTGTCTGCTATTCTATGAACTGCCGAAACAACAGCTATTTTCATGTTGAAAATATTTTCCCTCCAGTTAACATAGTTTAAAATCACATTCCTCTAGCCAGTGGTAAATTGAGGCATCTTCTACAAACATTCTATTTTCCATTTTCATTTTGCCTTTAGTAAATTATCTCTTTATATTTGTTACACATTTTTTTTTCCTATTTGGTTGTTTAGTTTTTCCTATGATTTAGCATATTATGATGTTAAGCTTTGTTTTTCCTAGTGCATGTGTAGAAGACGAAAATGGACTGCAAGTGATGTGTAAAGATTATCACCAAGAAGTCCAGTATAATTTTCTATCCTTGTAATGTAAGCTGTCCTCGAGGTGTGCTTTGGCCAATGGAATACGGCAGAAGAGTCACTGGACCACTTCTGAGCCTGAGCTTCAAGAACCCTTGTCACTTCAGTTTGTTCCTTCTTAGAATGTGTAAACCCTCAGGAGGGGGGTGGGAAGGGGTTGGGGGAAACCTTATATTTACTCTCTAGAGGTTGAGAAGCCACATGGAGAGAGAGACCTGGCCAGCATCAACTTCCCAACTGGGCTACCGGATTACTACAGCCGTGTGAGTGACCCAGGCTAATCCAGGTAGAAGAACCAGTATGCTAAGCACAGCTCAAAGTATAACTCCAGATTCAGAGCAATAAAATGGCCATTTCAGCCACTATGTTTTTGGGTATCAGTTATGCAGTAGTAGATGGCTGATCATACACACACACAAACACACACACACGAAATCCTTCTATGCCTGTGCATACACATTTAGCATTATCACAGGAGAGGGAGACTATTACTGAGATTTTGGGGGACAAAAATTTTAACCCCTATTTTGTATATTTTCTTATTGCTTGAGTTTTTACAATAAGCAAGCATAATTTTTTACATAAAAAAACAGTTTTCTAAAAGATAATAGTCTGGCTCTGTCAATTGGAAACATGTCTTCTTCAGGACAATGATTTTTGTTTCTCTGATTTTTTTTTAATCTCAAAATGTTATCTATGCTATGAGCTTCCAAAATCTGATTTAAAGGTTTTAGAAATACAAAAATTTATATGTGATCATCTGTATTTTGGCTGGATCCTTCTTGACTTGAGCAGAAGATGTCATGGTCTAGTTTTAATACGTGTAAAAGGGAAATTTTAAGAATGAAAAGCTCAGTGATTAATTGAGGAAAATGTTCCACTGTATGTACAATATATTATAATTAATGAA